GGAAATGTCCGATTTTTGAGATAACTTTTGGTTCTACGTCCTTTTTAGACTTACCACTCGTTCTTCATTATACGTCATTAATTTGAAGATAAAAAAAGCTACGGGTTTTGCAGTAGAATGATCCTGGTGAAAAGTTTGACTGCAATGGCAACGGAGAAGTTACTGCTGAAAACATCAGGTCAGCAATTCTTGGATGGTGTCGATTATATGTATCGCGTGGGGTTATCACCTGATCGATTGTCAGTCATGGAAACAACCAGTGGTAAATTCATCTTGCAGTTTCATTCACGATGCGATCTTCGTCCGTTCGCTGTACGCATTTTTTTTTGTTTTCTACTTTTTTTTTGTTTTTTTTGTTTTCTGAATTGTTCCGATCGACGTCTTTTGTAAATCCCAGTTTGCTTTTTTCGACAAAGGATAACATTGCAAAATTACCATCATCTGTTGTTTTTCTGCGGCAACAGAAAACATAAGCATAAATTCTTTTTGCGTTCACACATAAATCTTTCTGCGCTTCCAGCAAACGAGTTTTTTTCCTTTTTACAGTTCATTTCAGGCTAATTATCCCACTTTTCAACGGTTACTTCGTGGTATAGTTCACATTAGAGCATGGCGAATCCAGTCTATCGAATTTTTAAATGTTGATTTCAAGATAGTCGATATTCCTGAAGTTGAACGTACGCTAGAAGTGAGTTTCATCATTTTAGTGCATAAACTAATATTGTTTATTTACAGATTGACGATTTTTTATAACTAGAAGAGTGATTATATCACTTATCAGCTTCAATAATTATGATTAGAAAACTCAAGCCCTTAACTACATGTAAGGAGTCCCACAATTATGAGCAATACCATCTGGTAATGTCTGAATCTTGTTCAGGGAATCCCATAACAATACCACATTCTTTTACTTCATTACATAAGACATGAAATACGAGAAGCTCCAGAATTCAGATTTTTGCTAAAATCTCAGTTTTTATAATTTTATTTTCAGAGGCTGGAAGTGAATTTGGTGCTGCTGCGCAACTGTACATATAACACAATCATGAAATCATCCCATGCATATCAAGTTTTGTTGGCACTTAATCGAAATAAAAAATGCATTGTTTGCGAGTACGGTGATGACAGGTAAGCATGGATCTTTCCTCCATTTCAAAGGTTCATTTTCATGAATCCTACCAAATTCTAGAATAACATCTTTGAAGTACGTCTTCATTATTACGAACGTCTTCATTATTACGGAGTTGGTCATTTTGACTTCACTTCAGTTTTTTCTCCAGCTTTTCTTTTGAATTTTATTAATATTCCTAATATACTTATGCTTTCTTGATGTTGTGGTGCATTCAGAAAAAGCTGAAATGAAGTCAAAATGATCGATTGCGTAATAATGGAGATGTACTTCAGACATGTGTATCTAAACTTTGGTTCTGAATTTTCATTCATGTTTACTTTCAGTTCTCTTTTATCCTTCTGACTTTTTAGAATTTTTAATAAATCATAGCATCATTTTACTATTACCTTCCATCCATTTTTCATTTCATCTTTTTTGAATTAAGAATAAACGGCTCTCAATTAATTTCCTTATTTTGCCTGATTAATAAATGAAGAGGCACCAATGAATTGAAGAACTAGTTTATCCCTGCTGCAGTATTTTTGTGCCTTTGTGATTCCAGGTTAAAAGATCGAGTTTTGCGTGGATATCAACGTCATTCCTTAAACAATAATAATGTGCCTGGGTTGAACGCTGCACCAGTTGCATATAATTGAAAACTATTAATTATTCAATACGTCATGACGCAACACAATAATTCTACACTTTTCATCTGATTTTTATCAATTTATGGTTAATTATGTGACTTTTATTCCACGTCTTCTTTTTTCAAATCATCACTTATTTATGAAATCCACAGAAATTTAGGAATGAGTCCTGGATGACTACCAAAATTCTAGGAAAATATCACTGCAAGGTATGGCTATGAAATAGAAGAATTAAAGAGGTTACAATGGGAGATTAATTGTATCCTAGTAAGACAGCATACCATAAGAGCACCTTATGATATTGAGCTTTTTAGTACTTCAATTTTTAATAATTCACCAACTTTTTTGTTCATTGTAACAAAGTAGTAATAAAATCTTATTCATTAATTTTTATGACATTAGGGCATTATTGTTCCAACTGTTCCAAATAAAATTAGAGTTTCCACTTCATCCCCCCTTAATGGATCAATAGCATATTACTATCATAGTTGAAATTGCGAGATTACTTCTGCCCTGGAAATGTCATAAAAATTCAGTAGAGCTGTTGTAGCTCTTACAAAAATGTTATTAAAAATATTTTCCATCATTTCTACGAGTTTGCATCTTTCAGTTTTCCCTTGTTGAGAGTTCGTCCTTGGCGTTTTTTTTTTTCGTTTTGGCTACGTTATGAGCCTTCCGATTTTTTCCTCTTTCGCTTGAATTGTATGGAGCAGTCTTTTGTGATATCTCAAGCTTATTTTTAGTCTCCATTTTAATTAATTTATTCCAGATTATTTTTTTATTTTTTGTCAAAGACAGTTATGTGGCATATTTTTTTCGAAAAATTTTTGGTGTATGAAGTTTTTGGATGACTTAAAGAAAACTTTGCGATAAATTGGTTTTAGTTCAGGCAGATCAGATTTAAACGGCGGAGAATTTTGATTTCTTTGACCATTCTCGAAGGATTAACACGGTTAAAACTTGGAGTTTTGGTGTCTATGGTATGGTTGAAGCAAATCAAATAGAAATAGCTTTGCAATTTTATTCAAATCAAGTACAAGAGAAAGACGAGTGTTTCTCTTTAATGATTAATGTCAGCGTTATTAATTAACAGATTTACTGGAAATGAGCATTTGTTAGAAGTGAACATGAACTGAAAAACTGGACGTTTTTGCAGATTTCACAAATAAATTTTCAACAGCATGCTGTTTGCAATTAGTTAATTTATTCATTTATTTTTTAAGACATTATTTTACTGATTATTGTGCATTATGTCGTCTGCTTGTATCAATTTTCCTGTTCTTAAATTTTATAGACAGAGCAGAGTATTCCCAGAATCATTCACATTGTTTTCGTGTATTGCTTTGGGAAAAATTTGTATTTGATGAGATTTTAATGGTATGATTAATGATAAAGATATTCCGGCAAAGGAGCAACTGCTGAGAACACGCAGTAGGTGGAAGGCATCTGTGGTCATTATCAGCAATCATGTTATTATACGATTGAAATTGTGATTGAGGAGTGAATGCAAAAATAAAGAAAAAAAAAGAGATGGAGTCTCTATTTGCTCTTAAATCTGTACCATCTACGTATGCTATTAATACTAACATTTGCCGTTTCATATGGATGCTTTTCAGTCTTTGCTGTCTGTGATCGTTGAGTATATTTCTTAAACAAAGGTTTGTAATTTTATTTCGCTCATTTTTTCTGTTTTGCCTTCTTTGTCAATAATCCCGTTACTTATTGTGAGTTCATGGTATGGGAATAAACTGTAGGCATTGATTGTTTGCTTTGGACCTTAAGGAGACTAACAAAAACTTATGTAATAACAATCCTATATTGGAAATTGAAATTGGAGAGAGCATGTGGTAATGAAATTCCCGAGAAGTATATTGCCGCAATTTCCACTAAAGTCATGGAGTGAAGTAACATTATCTCATGAAAAATTTATTTTTGCAGCACTCGAAACTTAGCAACTAGGTCAAAGAAGTTTCTTTAAGGCGCTGAGTTGCAAGAATATGCCACTAAATGCCGAGAACTTATTTTTCATTTGGACTATTGTATTATAAGTAGTTCAACCTTATCGGAACATTTTTATAGGGTCATTTGTGAATAGCAATCCATGTTGATAGCAACTTTTTGTCAGTTTTCTTCTTAGCACTACTGTAAGACCACGAATACACTCCCCGAAATTATGCGTTTCCTTCACATACAGATTGTTGATTTGATTTTTGACGATTCACTGGTGACTATTGTAATAAACACATCCTAGCTTTGAGATGTCTTGCAACATGTGTAACCTCGTTTTGAAATGTAGTGGTCTTGATTTGGGCTGATTCTGATGGCGGTTAATAACAGTATCATTGCGAATTATATTATTTATTAATTCCAGTATGCCATTTCAGTCAAGTGATCTTAATAGGGATAACGCATTTACTGGTAATTCGCCATTCGATCGCAATTTAGGATGCTTTCGTTGCTGTCGAATGGATCAAACGAGTTCAGTATGCAACGTGCAAATCTGTCCATCGGAGGAAATAATAAATTCAACAGAAGAACCTTTCATTGTATGTTCTTAATTTTTGATTCTTACAGATTTATACAAAATAGGATAAAAATTTAAGAAATATCACCTTAACTCTGACAAAAATTCAGTAATCCGTCTGATTTTTACCATGCTTCTGAATCAGCCTCGCTAAAGTTCCTTAATATTCACCACCAGTATCGAAAGTTCGATTGCTTAACGGACTTTTGTCATGGTAAAACTAATATTTCCTGTAAGCTAACCTAATACATTACTCTATACACCACTTCAGGACCGAAACACTTCACTACTGTGTCAAAAATGCTGTAAGGAATATGATACCGCACTTTGCTTAGAATAGGTCATTTTTTAATAGGATTACATTCTCTGAAATCATCATCAGCCATATTCGCAATCTCTTTGTTTCATTTCAAATTTTTAAAAACTTCTTTCTTTTCGTTTTACGAGCAAGAAATTTAAGCTTACAAGCCATACACTTGCTATGAACTGATCATAGAGCGATTTTCAGTCTCATTCCTCGCTGCTTTTAAATCGTCCTTCCCGAATAATCTTTGGAGTAAATGTCTTTGTTTCCATCATTTTACCATACCTCCTTATATTCCCAATTAATTTTCCATCCCTTTAATTACTTCACTAATTCATAATTTTTAAGTAAAGTGGCTTTCAGGAATCTTATATATGCATTAGGAATGATCAGAAAATTAATGCATAATAAACACTTCAAAATAGTTCACTAAATCCCGTTTAATGGACAACTGATTCTAACGGAAATAATAAAAACGAAACGAGACCTTTGTTCACTTTAAATCATCTTGAAAATATAGCAAGCAAGCCATTTTTCAAGTCCAGAAAGTAATCCTTTGCAATTTGTAGTCTTGAACAATTTATGCTGCTTGCCTGTCAAGTCTTAGTAGAATTTCACCTGGATTAGAGAATTCTATTTGATATAATCAACGATATCATTTATAAAAGGTAGGCCTAGATGGGAGGACACGTTTCAGGTCTCACCGACGATAGCTGGACATTATTTAGATCCTAAATTATAAATAACTACTTGTGAAACGTTGTAAAAGGACGCTGAAAGTACGTGCTATTTGATGGAGGCAATATGCTGGAGATCAGGGCTAAGAAAAAAGGGCCGAATCTCCACGTCCACATACGCATAACGATGAATGGAGTTTCAAGAGTCTTCATCTTTAGTATCCCCTTGCCTTCAGCTGAAGTATTTTATGAAAATCGCAGGATGTAATCTGTTTCTTTTTCAGTATTTCACTGAAACCATTTCGTAATCCGGTATGTTTTGTATTTTCGGGAATTTCCCGAAAGAAATACACGATTAAAGTCGAAAATCCTTTTCGTCGGCTATTCGCAAGAAAGGGTATTTTAACTTTGTTAACACATCTTGAGAAATAATCAAATTTTCACGATTTTTTAACGAATCCGAACTTTTTAAAGTTAATATCAAATTCACCTCTCTTAATATTCCAGCGCTGAATAACTGTATCATTTCTTATAGCGAAGAACCACAAAGTGACAGAAAGATCCTGTTAAGTTGCAAAATTGTATTTTCATCATAATAAGTGACTTGGAATTGAAATATCAATATGTATCACAATAACCAGAATATGTAACACACGGGAAAATATCAAAATTTCAATAAATCAGTAATGCGACATTCTAGATGAAGACAGGTCTGATTTCAGTAATTTGGAATGCTCAGACATCAGCGACATTAATGTGGGAAGGGACAATCATATAGACTCATTTTTCTTTTATTCCTTTTTATCTTCTAACCCCTATTTTTGTTCTCGCTCTTCTTTCAACTGATTTGCAGTAATGTATGATGCAGCTGCTGTTAGAAAGAATTTTTGCTACAAGTTAGAAGAGGTGTTGATGTATCCAATAATTTAATTCTAAAAGAAATGACAAGTGAACGCTTGAAAAAAGGAACAATCCGGATTTCTTCTATGAGCCGAAAAGTGCAGTAAGAATAGACCCAAAAAACAATATGTTACTACGGATAGTTCGGAAAAGTTCGTCCACAAGAAATGATTAACGGTGAGGTATAAATACTGTATGGATCACAGAAGAATCAGAAATCTGAATCTAACTTGAAACTTTTTCCTTCTTCGCTACATAGAACACCAGCTTTCTGGTATTCGCTGACACGTTTTTCAAAAAAATTAGTTTTGGCTTCGATCGATATACGCTCCATGAAATCAAATGGATTATCCGAATAGTACATCTGAAATATCACAACTACAGATTAGGAAACCTACAGGAAGCTGGTTTTATAATTTTAAAGAAACTAACGAAGAAACCTTTAACAGCTATAGTTTCACAATTTTTATCATTTAAAACTGTTCATGAGAAATTACCTTTGCACAATGGAGTTCTGTTAGTAAATGATCAGCTACATATTCAATATATTGACACATCAACTTGCAGTTTATGCCGATCAGGTCAACCGGTAATGCTTCCGTTAAGTATTCCTAAATTTCAAACAAGCTAAATCGTTGTTAAATGCGGTCTATGGTAAGCGTCATTTTCGGAAAAAAAAGAGTTGGGAAGGTAATTTGCGTCATTTGCCAATGGAAAGTTAAAAGATATAAGGACAAATAAATCGATTCACCTTTTCAATATCAACCGCTTCGCGAATAATCTGGTAAATTCTTTCCTCTGAAGGCTTATTTTTAATATAAGTGTACAAGAGACAGGCAAAATCACGATGCAAGCCCTAAAAATGAAAATTAACATCTCTTGAATTCATTTTTTCTTTTTTTTTTGAGAAAATTCTCGATTAATTCATCTTCAATGTTTTAGATAAGCATCTTCGTATTTGAAACGACTGACATTGAGCTTATTATATCCGACCTCGAATTTGCTGAAATCCGGCAATTAGAGGAATGGGCGCTTTGGTTTCATCAATAATCTGGACTACTTTCTCCTAATCGACCAAAACTATCCTAATCAATTATCTACTGTTAAATATTTACACATAATCTACCTCATCTCTTGAAATCAGCTCGTTGCTATGCGTCAAACCAGGCATCAAACCGCGCTTTTTCAACCAAAATATTGCAGCAAAGCTTCCAGAGAAGAATATTCCTAAATAAGATGTTTCTATAATATCGAAAAGATAGAACCAATGTGATGGGAGATAACTGCTTTAACAAAAAAGTAGGGTACTAACCCTCAACAGCAGCAAAGGCTATCAGTCGTTCCGCATAGGGGGCTTTTATATCAGCAATCCAACATAATGCCCAATCAGCTTTCTTCTTGACGAATTCGAATTCATAAATTGCATTGAATAAGAGAGACCTTAAAAAAAGAATAGATAATTTTTGTAGCTGATCTCATCATTAACTTATCAAAGCAAATATGCCAATGTTTCCTTGTACCCCAAAAATACTACAACCCCGAATAAAAATTGCTTTTTGCATTTGGAGGTGCAAAAGGCTTAGTCAAAACCCAGTTTCGCATCGGTGCAAAGCAGTAAAGCAGTGTCTAATGCGATCAGATTTATTTGAAAAGAGTGTAGTATGTAACTCTGGTATATTTTAAAAACCTATGTAGAGATAAAATTATCACGCAAACAGGAATCAAACTGGTCGGTAAAAGACGTGCTTTTGTTTTTGATCACGAATGTAGGTATCAATCATTTTGGAGTACATTTCAGAATGGACGTTCTCGATCATAATTTGAAAACCATAAAAAAAACGTGCTTCTGGTACCTGAACTTCTTGCGAGAAACGATTTACCTAAAATAAATCGAACAGAAGGGATGCAAAAAGTTGCCTTGAAAAAATTGTAACGAAATAAAAAAACTGTGACTAGTTGAAAAACTCAAACCTTCATATTTCACGGAATCTTCGCTTACGAACCTTTTGAAGTGGTTCCAGTAGTTTAAATTAGAAACTCACCAAATTTTCGTTAACGATACCATCTGAGGCGGCAAAAAACGCTAAAACTCTTGAGATGAAATGACGCTCTCCATCATTCAAATTTTCCCAGTCACGGTAATCCTTGCTGAGATCAACCTGAAATTAGATTGCATGTACTCTCGGGGAAAAAATATTTATCATAATAGGATCGAAACCTAATGCTTCGGAACTTTATTTCCAGAGGAATGTTATGGCTGAACTCACTACTAATCATAATTATATCAACTGACCTCATCAACAGTCCAAAATGATGCCAAGGCCTTCTTATAAAAATCCCAAATATCATGAAATTTGATGGGAAATATAACAAAACGATTTGGATTTTCGGCCAACAAAATCTCTCCATTCGATTCACATCTTGAAGTTGTAATGGCTCTTTCAGGAGCACCACTTGGTGGTCCCGACTAAAATTATGGTGAAATTTATCCGTATGTTTCATAAAAATAAAAACTTTCGAAATTCTGAATGCACACAAAACTTCAAAGATCAATATCACGGTTATTTATGAAATTCAGACCTTCTGACTCGTTAAGTTCTCCTTCACGCTTAATAAATCGTTACAGTTAACATTAACTTCTTCGAGTGGCATTGTTAGTAGTAACAGCTGCTATTATACAGCTGAAATCCTGAAAAACGAGGAGGTGTTTAAAAATTTTCCGAAAAAGGATGGCTCTATATATCTATATAGAAATAAGTCCGTGAACAAAGGGATAACGTCGAAAGAGATTTATTTTCAAGTAAATCGGCAACCACACATAAATTAGGATTATTGAGGCACACCGAAGATTTAACCACAAATTTTTTATTAATTCTTCGAAGATTACCAAACTTCTCGGTTTTATTTGGACCATAAAAACAATCTCTCGCTACTTATGCATATTCATAGTTTGATGACTGCAAGGACACCCTCAGTTTGTTTACCATTTTAATTTATGTTAATTAAAAGATTATCTTAGTGATTCCTGAGTAGCAATAAACAGCATATATTTTTTTTCAAAACAGTGCCCTAGATAAATTTGTGCGGGATTAAGCAACATATGAACAGAGAAATTTGGATTTGAAAAAATAAAGTTAAAAAAAAGTTTCCCAATTAATGTCATCCTATGACCACTTCTAGACGTAACGAAGTATGAAAAGAACCAAGTGCACATGCATACCTTACAAAAGTCCGAAGAATGACTCCTTCCAGAATGCGCACCACACACTCACAAACTTCAATTACATTTCCAGTTCAAATACGTGGGGAATTTCGCGCCTTCTGGCCGTAGTTGGCCGAGAACGTTGCCAACATAAAATTCAGACTCTATAAAGAGTAGTGTAAATTTCGGACCCTCAAGAATGAAATGCAATTTTTTCCTCTGTTTTAAAGATTGTGTTGATACTATTCCATTCACGTCATTGTAGTGGGAAAAGTGAGTTAGTCAGGCGCTACTATCCCCATTGTTGTCGGTAGTGGAGTGAAGATTAGGCAATCCATTCCAGATTCGTAATATAGTAAATTAACTGTAAAAGAGGTGTTGCAGTATTGAAAGGGAATAGTTAAGATGATATGTCAAAAATGATCAAAAAAGCTCCCATAAATATGTGCTGATCGCTTGATGTGATGGAAGTAACGAGATGAGGGAAGATACGACTAGCCAAGTGAGATGTTGCTAGTAATTTTCAGGTATAGGCGATATGACAGGACTAATGAGACAAAACTAGCGTATATTTTAATTTGACTGGACAATAAATCCTCAACAAGTGCATGGGACATTTTTTACCTGACGCAAATACTCACTGGCACTCATTCTGTTTGTGACCCCATTTTTGTTGATCATTTTTATTCATCGTAATTCTTACTCCCAAACAAATTGCTATTCGAAAATTTGCGGTGTCTGAAAGCAATTGAATGGAATCTCTTGCTTATTATGAGATAGATGCTTATTATGATAATAGAGATTATTATGAGATAGATAAATAACAAGCAGTAGTTTACACTTGTCGTTTAAACTACTTTTCTTCTCAGAAAAATGTTTGACAACCACTTCTTGTTGTTTATGAACATTTTTTAGCCATGAAGCACACACACAAAAAACATGAAATTCCCAACAAGTTTGAATCCATTTTTATTATGCATAGAGCATACATTTACAAACATATATTAAGAATCCATGAAATGAAGTAACAATTCTAAAATTTTCTTGGTATAAAATGGAGAGGAACTTTCGGCCCCTTCTCTTCCTAATTTAAATCATATCATCAATTAATATGAGTTCAAACCCTTTCCCTCTAACCTTACATCAAATTTGATCACACAAAAGCCAAAGTCACGAAATATGAGCTGTTTGGTAAATTATCGCTTTCCCTACGAAATCTGTTGGCAATATGGCGATAATGAAAGTTGACTCTTACAGGGTGCTGATAACTTTTTTTGCTCGAATTAAGTGTTATTGTCATCCGATTTACATGAGAGGAATGATAACAGCGATTATACTTTGAGAATCTTGAGTGGCTTTAGCATAATACATATAAGGAGTTCTGTTGTGGTGCACATAATAAATGCCATATATGTTTCCATTAATAAGCGATAATGAAAGCTAAAAAAGTTTCAGGACATTAAGAAATAAACAGTATCACATTTTGATAAAGGCCAGAAAGAAATAAAGTCAGTAAACCGATGATTAGAAAGCATAAAGATTTATAATAATGTTCAACTGCGGCATTTTTAAACAACATTCAAACCAAAATTCTTCAACTTCCCGATTTTTCAGCGGTCAGTAACTTCACAATATTAGTCAAAAGTTCATTATCTGATGCTTGAATAAGGCTTACAATCGCACTGTTATTAAAGCAACGCTGCAGTAACCGTTTGCCTTCGCAATCAATCCCCTTACATGGCACAGTAAACTGAAATTATTGCTCATTGTAATAAGATGCTAATGATACCAAAAATAAACTTCTAAAAAACTATCGTTTACCTCTTTATTAGATCTCCAAAGCAATTACCATTTATCACACAAACCTAATGGAGATCCCAGGTAGTTTTTTTCTTTTGTCGCCATTCAGTCTTTCATACAAAAGCATACATGTGTCATATATGAAAAATAGAACCGAAAAGTACCTCGTGGAAATATACGTTTCTATTATAACTTTTGCCGTGCTTGATATGAACAGGCTTTAAACCCACCCTTTCTATTAGACAGTACTAAACAGTACTTTAAACCTACTTTTTCTGTTAAATAACATTGATCAACGTCATTCATTAAAGGCTGTGATGACTTTCCTTCCGTATCTTTTTCAACATCCTTCAAAGTGTATCTATTAAGAAAACAAATTGTATGAAAATAATACATCAGTTACAGTATGATTTTGTTTTTAACTTTGCTGAAAATCAGTTCATTTTTTTGTATGAAATGAAGCTTAATAATTGAAACTTCGTAATGAGTATGTTACAGTTGCTTACCGGCAAAATAATCAGTTTAGGAAAAAATATCTATAAAAAACGAACAAATAAAAATACTTAAGTTACTTGAAATGAAAATGCAACCGAACTTACGACAATCTGCGGGATTTCAACCGAATGAAGTATGAAACGTGTTTTTTTGTTTCTTTTATCTTCTCGCACCCAAACAATTGTTATACCTTCATTCTTTGGATTCATCAGTGGTCGTTTTTCGAGCGGTATTTCAATAAAACCGAATACAGCTGATTTTAGAGCGCTTAGCTCTTGTTCGAAAAAGCCACATGCCTCAAACTGAAGTTGGAAAACTTTTAAATACTCGAAAAATCATCAGATTATAGATTTAAACAAATAGGTTAAACAATTTTTTCCCCATTAATTCGGACTTTAGCGAATGACGGATGAATCTAAAGATATCTAACATAGCTATAGATGGCACATTAAAATGTGGATCAAATGAAGCTGTCATACATTCAAGGTCTTCTTGAATCTAATCACTTCTCAAGTTATTGAAAAAAGAGATATGTGCACTTACCGCATAATCATTGGAAGTTGGAACTGCACGAATCTGCGTCAAAAGTGGATTAGTTATCGAGTTCCAGGTTTTGATTCTGAAGTCCGGCTTACCAGCAGGACTACACGCTGTGAACTTAACCCATGTCCCAGGGACAAGCTTGTCCCATCCTTTTTGTGAACTGCAGTCGAAACGAATTTCCAAGCAAAGGTAATCGGATGCTAGAAGCAAGCCGTCACCCAAAACCAAGCCATCACTCGACAGTTCTGCCTAAAATCATGCTGCGGTAAATCTTTAACATACTCTAATTTATTAATGCATATGAAATTACTGCGTAATGGACTTTGTTAGTCGTCAATTCAACGAGTGATCGTTGCTGAGAAACATACTATGATGTAATAAGGATAGAACATTACGGCTTGTCCAATTTATTTAGTAATTCCGACCCGCCAAAACAACTACATTAAGAGACTTGAAAAATCAACTTCTTATTTTATAAACAAAGAATGTTTTTAATGTAAAAATAAGATAAACTCCTACATAGCCATTATTCATAACTGCATTCGCTTTCTTTGTTGCCACGTCCGAAAGATCTTTTATTGCAAAACAACTCAAACGACTAGGACCTGTATATGCCACATATACGCATACGGGTCCATATGGATTTTGACTTAATAGTACAGGTAGCAAAAGTCGATCAGCATCATGGATCAACCCCAGATCCTTACCTTTGCTCCATAAATGTCCCATCGGCAAATTTGATCCCCAGTTGGCGTAAATTTCCAACTAAAATGATATAATTTCTGGAATGATAAATTATTTAAGCTTGTTTTACCCTAGATCATGGAATAAGAGCTCACGGCGCAGTTCAAGTTTTCATGACTACTGTGATTTCAAACATATTTTGCCTGAAGCATATTTTTTTTCAAGTTCGCCTGGTCTACTTTGCTTTCAAGTCATTTATCAAGAATATATTGAGGAAAAAATCTAATAGAAAACAGTCACCAACTATACGGAATACAAAAAACCTAGGAAAATCATGTCGACTAGTCATATATCTTCTATCCTGGCGTGTAGGTAATTTTTTCGGTGACCAGCTACGCTCTTTCTCATGTGAGGAATACTAAAAAAGGAGAAAAAAAAGAAAAAAGAACCAAAAATTGTGATCCAAATTCGAATGGTTTCGTTTTGAATTGTTTCTCCAAACGACGATATGACCGAACCACATATAATTGTAAAGGAATACTGTAATAAGCGTTAAACTGTATACAGCTGCCAACGGGAGTATGTCGTCCACGTTTAACGTAAGCCAACGCGATTTTCACGTCTGGATATTGTCTACTATAAACATTTCGCTCGCCAACCAATACACCTTGCACATTGTATATCTGCAACGCGATGAAAACATTAAACATGGAATCTAATAATGCACGAATTCTTATTACTAGTCATAATTGTGCACTCAAAGGATTCTTGTGGAGTCTACTATGTACCGCAAAGTTCTACATTACTGCCGCAGTGGTTTGCAACATTTATTATTTCTACTGTTCAAGACCCTGGCTAATCACTTTTCAGCTGTTAAACTCTTTGTATCTTTTTATTTTCCTCCAAATAAAATTTGCTTTGGCATTTACCAAACTTTTAACCCTTTTCTCCAGTTTCTGGATTAAAAAACTCTTGAGGAAAATCAGAAAGAAATGATATATTTTCCAAATTAAGATGATACCAAGAAACGATCTCATATTTCTCTGCATTAATCCCAGGCAGGTTTTATGCCCTAATTCCCAACGATTTTAGCCGGAAAATAATTTTAAAAAAATCGACTACAGAATTAAATTTTTCGAAAGACAAAAGTTCAAAATTCAGTGCACAAGCAACAACAATATTTGACCGGCACTACTCAATTTTCATCGAAATGAGAACAAATTTCGTACGCTGAAAGCATACAAGTTGAAGAAAAATAATTCTAGCTCGTTACGACTCTATGACAGTCATGGCTGCTAACAGATATTATATTTACCGCTTCGAAATTATAAATTTTTTTGACCAACTGTTTTTCTTTTTTTGAAATTGTTTCTTATAAATTGTTTCAAACTGATTTTTAGAATCATGAGTGTTTTAAGCCAGAATAGCCAAAGCGAAATGAACTTCATATTGCTTGTTCTCGAACTCTCCCTCACCAGCCTCCTTGATTTTAGTTATTTCTTGCTAACACCCCATTAATATTTTACGATTAATGTGACACAGAATGTCTGTGAATAAAATACTGAAGACTTTCGCAAAAGCGTAACATGATGATATTGAAATAAAAAAAATAAACTAAAATAGTATGGATTCCTACAAAATATCAAAAGTAAAACAATCATGAATGATTGATTCATCGTCAATACAACCATGATGTGGAAAGATTCATAATAAGTAGTTTTGCCTCTTTCTAGTTTGGCTTCATTCTACAGTTGTACATTGGATATGATAAATAAAATTTTAGCAAAGAGCAAAGAATTGAGAATTTTCAGTCTTTAATTTCCTTCCCAACAGAAAAGTGATGATTAACACCAAACACTGTGAGTAGATGAAACAAATGAAAAAAACACCTCGATGGGATATAATGCTTGAGGATTGCCTTCCCTCGAATCTGAATCACTCTCATCAGTATCGTTGCTGATCACGGTAACAAAGCGAGGATCTTCATGATTCCAAGGCTAAAAATCGTATTCTGATAATTTTTTTAGTAAAGTTCTCCAACAAATCTCGCAGTTTCCATATGCTTGGTAACTGTAATGCTTCTAATTTGACTTCATTCTACAGCAACACATCGTACACGGGAAGCAAAATTTTAGTAAATAGCAGAGAACTGAGAATTTCCACTCTTTAATTTTCTTGTCGCTAAGTATAAGATTGTAATATAAGCAATTATTTAGAACTAACAACTCTTGAACCTTTATTAATAAAAAACTGCTGGTTTTAAAATTCAGAAAGTAGTGAATATTGTTGCTAATATTCCAAAAGTTGGACCTCAAATTGCTAAACATAAGTTATATTGTTGATTTGTAAACAAGGATCAAAGCTCACCGCTTCATTAACTAGATCCTGCTCCTCCGATACATCAATATATTCATCAACCTCAACATTCAAAGATGATATTCGCGTTACTTCCACGGAAATCCAGCAGCTCAAAAATTTTAGACGTAGAGAAGCAGAATTTAAACGCTGATCAAAACTGAACACTTCTTGTTTGTAAAACACATTCCACTAAATTTAGGACTATCGTATAGCCAAATACTACTTCATAAAAATGAGCTTTTTAATAAATTTATTTTTAAGGGTTACCGGTATGCGACATCAACAAGAAAGCAGTTTCTCAATTCTGGATCAACTCGAACTTTACCGAACAATTCACAGTAACATTCATTCTCCCATCCACGAGTTAATGGTGGGAAGACACACTTCGATTCAATCTGTAATGATCACGTTATCAAAAATAAAATCAGCTAAATCCATTCTATTCGACAAGTCCAAAAAATAATCACTTTATTTGGATTCATTACACTGTAGTAAGCGATGCCCTAAACCTCGTTCTATGAATTAATAATATATCATCCTTAATCCGACTTCCAATGAATTTTACGACCCCAACATAATCTAGAAGACCGGATATATGACGAATGCAGTTTCCATTCACTATTGCCTCTACTACAGGAGAACTTCATGCAAAGCATTGAAATAGTGCAGAAAAAAGTCAACCAACTGAAACACAAAAATTACCATATTGTCGTAGAAACAAAGCAGTGAAATCCGCACTAGAATATTCAACATTAAATCCACTTACTAATTCACTTTCACATTCACAAAAATCAAATGGAGCACGATTTAAACCCACCAAAACCAAACAGAAAAAAGTAAAAGTAAAAAAACAAACAAACAAAAATTAATGGATAAACAAAATCGCTTACTTAATAACAGAAAAATAAGTAAATAAACAGAAAAGGCAATACTCTGCGCATAAGCACGCATCTCACCAACAAAAGCATACTTACAGCCACTAAGAATACCAGATAACATAACAAAATTGATAGAAACATACATCAAGGAAAATAAAAAAAACACCAGAATATTCAAAAGATAAAAAAAACAAAAGGTATGGCAAAGTAAAAAAAACTATCAAAACAAAATCACAATTTATTCTAGACTGAAAACATGAAGTTATTCACGAAATAAGTCTACAAGTAGTGAATTTCCGTATTTTATTAGACAGTTCTTACCTGCAGATGGTCGCCAATGCTGCGACAAGAATTCAATGGATATGTCTTCACATACTTCTCAATGCAACCTTCTACAATATCTCTTGCTTCAAATTCAATCCAGTCACCGAACATAAGGGATTTATTTCTTTCAGCCTGAAATATTCTTCAACTATTAGCCAGTTTCTAGTAACATTTATTCATTCCAATTTTAGACATTCGAAAATATGAGTTTCCACTTGATAAGTCTTTCTTTTTAGTGTTAAAAGATTCATAAAGTTCGAAAACTGTTCCATAAGAAAAGCAAAAACGAAGTTATAAGCCAGAAGCTAGAAAAGTGGAAAAATGTATGAATAAAATTCAAACCAATCACTTTGTCGAGATCTTTACGTTCCTGTCTGGTCAGTTTTGCTCTATTTGATACTGGGACTCGTTTAATGAATAGAAGAGGAATCTTTTCCTCCACATAAACGACATGCATTATTTCTGTTTCGTTGAGTGGTGGAGTAACAACGACACCATACATCCTTGAAATACCACCCTGTTCAGCCAGATAATATTTTATCCAAATAACAGTTTAATTTTAAAAAACTTAAATAATGCCTGATGGATGAACACAGAGTTCAACATTCCAATTCCCAAGTCATATGAATTAGCTTTTCTTTAGGAATTCCTTTTTTTAACTCACAGGTACCATCCATATATCTTGCCGCACAGAAGGATTTCAAAGTAATGTGGAAACATGAGCTTGTCTGAAGCTGCCTTTACAGAGGATTTAAGAAAAATTGGAGAATTACTAAACAATGCGGACAATATACTGTTTCACCCACTTATTTCAATCAGAATGCACACTTCAGCAAGGTTCATCTCTTAATTCCGCCTCTTTTAGTTTTTAGATAATTGCTAGTTAGTCCAGTCTCATCACCCCATTTTATTCGATTCTATAAAAGGACAACGTAAAGAATCAACACAACCCAGTAAAATAATATTAGAAAATACATCTACTGATAATAACTGATAATTCACTGCATTTAAAGAAAAAAATTACGTAACAAATAAAAAATCATAGAAGTAATGATAAAATCTAAAGCATCTTGCAAATAGCTAACAATTGTGTAATTTAGCTAATAAGTATAAGCTTAACTCAATGTAGTTTTCAAACCCTTCAGGCTTTTCCGGATCCGGAATAAGACATGAACGATACACGAATATAACACATCGTAAGACCTATAAAATGCTCTTTGCCGAGATGAATAACAGACTCCACACTGCAATGTCACATATGGTTATTTTGCCCACATTTCCTGCACGCGATGCTCATGACATACTTACGTGGATCACGTAAAGTATACGGATTTTGTAAAGATAAGCGGCAGTATGAGACCAGGCTGATTGAGAGAGGGCAGAGATGACTGAGAACTTGTTGAAGATAACAGCATAGATTAAGATAGGGTCGGTGACAAAAGAAGTTGTCGAGGAACGGTGGAGATTGATAGAAATGGCGAAGCAATGTGTTGTATGGGTTGAGAAAAATGTATGACAGTGATTGAAGACAACATTTTTTAGCGAGAGCATTGGTCGATTTCGAAATTGGTAGCGTTGAATTCTGCGCCTGGTAAATTTATTGGTCACTTTGATGGCTTGTTGACGTACGTTTGAAGCGTATGTGCAGAAAGGATGACATCAATGATAGAAGGCGATCCACATGAAGTTGAGCACGTAGAAGATGATCGTTTTCGAGGGGAAGGTAAGATCATCGATGAACAAGACCGAGAAGAACATTTTGTCAAACCATTGCATACTTATTACTGCCGCTGTGGACAGGTACGTACTTCATATCCTTCCTTGTAAGCATAGTAGAGTGACAGTTCTGTTGTAGTCGGAAATGTACCAGAAGAGTGTTCAGTATCATATAAGGATATTTGAACCTTGAAAGGGCTAATGTGTGCATATGGTTCATCCAAGGCTCAGGGAAGAAAAGGCCAGTTAGCGAATCTCTACGACAAGTTATGGTAGAAAAGGAGCAGTCGCTTGTCTGGTCATTCTGTTGATATGTAAGTTCAGGTAAATTATTACTGGTTGTTCGTTTGTCATTCTGATGAGTTACTCAACAATCATGTTATAGATAGCGATGATAACAGATACACTGTTAACAAGGATGCCCTTACGGCGGCGCGATCGGTCACGCATTATTGATCCCGCACGTACGGAAGCTAAAACATTTGGTGTTAATGGTGACACTGTTTACGTACGAAGGTGAACCTTTTATTGGAAATCCGTACATTATTTTGAGATTTCCCGGACCTATTTTCTTGATTTCTTGCCGAAGGAATGTACTAATTTCCGGAAAATAATATCGAAATAATCGGGAATAACCTCATCTTGTCCTTGGATTTTTGTCTTCCCTGCTGCTTACTCTAGCATTGAAAAAAGCGGTATTCTAATTTTGCTTTGCTTATTGTGCAGTTACCATAATATGAGTGTAGCTTGGATTCATACAATTCACTTATATTAAGTAATGATATATAAAGTATTGCTCATTGCCTTGATATCTAAATTTCAATCTATTTTCAGACGAGAAGGACTGGAGCAGCAGTATAGAAAAAATTGTCATAAGTGTGGGATTCCACTTTTCTACTACCATCCGTTCAACTTTAAAAATTACCTTTTTATATTTGATAATGCTGTACGATCTGCACAGCAGATTGGTGGTCTTAAACTTGCAAATGAGGAGCAACCCGTTAAAAAAGTCAGTAAACATATTTTTCTTAGCCGTCTAGATTTCTCCTTGCCGTAATCAGTTGACTTGTAATTGTCACATTTTTATAATTATTCTAATACATGTCCTTATAGTTCTGTTTCAGGTAATCATGACGAAACATGTAAAAAATCAGGGGAAGGTTGGTTCAGTCACTGTTTCTACGGTCGAAGAAGCAGAGGATGAACTGGAGGCGGTAAGCAACACACTAATTTTAAATGAGTTAAAGAATTGGAAGAGTGTTAGACTAATTTTTTACATTTCCAAAAGCGATGGAACAGTTTGTTTGATCATATAAGCATTTTTTTAAGAATTTGCCTTCGTACGATGCATTGTATTCTTTCTGTAGTGCTTTTACACACTACGTTTTGATATTAGCATATGATATCCGTCTATTCTTTGGCAAAGCATAGACAAAAGTATATAAAAAAGTATATAAAGTATAGACGGTCCAGATCCCAAACTTCACAACATTGAGTGTGTCTTTTAATTTCGCTTTCTTCTCCCTCAAGTGCCACACCAAATTAGGTTTTCAGTCGGGTTTGCGAAAGTTAATCACATGACCCACATTTTTGCAAAAGTTTTTCATGATTAGTAGCAGTAATTAACAGATTATGTGTGTCATTTCTTGTGCAAGTTAAACCGCAATTTATTCTAGCGAGAAATAGCAGAATCATATACACTGAATGCCCGCATGATTGAATATCAAATGAAGAGGAAAGGAATGTTGAAGAATCAAGTTTCGGAAGAGTTAATTGAGGCGAAGAAAAGGCGAGATGAGAGCAAGCGAGGGACGTTGTTATGATGCATTAAGTATGTATATTTTTCTCAGTTATTATGATTTCTTCGGAAATAATAATGCCAGAATGGTAAATCAGATTATCGAATTTCCTGAAAGATCATAGTTTTGCTTCTGTTAAATATGTATGCTGAAATTTCCATCACTTTATCATTTGCACGAATCTGTGCGGGATCTGTAACTCAGTGAGTTCTGTTAAGTATCCTTTTTATTAAACTATGTACACAACTTTTGGATTAAAAGTTCGGTTAAAATTTAGAATTCATTTAAACTGAGGCCAGAGAATTTTTCTGCTTGGTATCTTCCAGTTCTTGACCTTTTCTTCCTTTTTTTAACTTTTTTGGATCGTAATCACTTCCAATGGGAAATTCGATAATTTTGTCGCATATAGATACTGATATTTTGTGTTTGGAATGTGGCAAGTCATGCGATAAATCCCTCCTTAAAATTGTTTTCATTTCTTGCAGTTGTTTAGAAGACATTGTTCGTAGCGATTGTATCTGAAACCACACTTTTTTAATTTTTGCACTGTTTGTCAAATTTTATCTGTTTCAAATTTCAAAAAACCAACAATTCATCTCACTGTTGCGGTGATTTTCTCGTTTTAACTCAAAAGAATGAACATTTTACAGTTGTCATTATTTTCATGTTTCTCGACTGTAGGCAATGAATGTGATCTCTTAATAAATGAAAAGTTGTTTACACTATTTGCAATGAATTTAGGTGGAGTTCCGAAAGGTAAAACATCAGGAATGCGGAAAATGAAGTGAACCTCACAACAAGAATTAACATGTTTGGTTGCTTCTTTTTAAAAATCCTTTATCATGTTCCGGGTGTAATTCCCATGCTTTGGTAGAAGGAGTATACTTGTGGAACACTCATATTTTTCAACCCAAAAAAGATCAAAGTCTAACTGATTTGTAATGAGATTGTACAATAATTGTGATAGAAGTGATGCATACCTGTTTTGCTGCTATAACTACTACGTCTTCAGGCATTTCGAGTTCATAATCATAAACAATGTTTTGGTCGACATTACTATGAACAAGTAGTTCAACCTATAACAATAACTGTTAGCAGTTTTAGTATTGGTGATAATAGTAATGGCATTGATATATAAGATAGGTTGTAGACCAGCATAACGTAGTCTTAAAGTGTTTTCCAGTTATACTGATTTCCAGAACAGACCAGCATAACGTAGTCTTAAAGTGTTTTCCAGTTATACTGATTTCCAGAACACTTACGAAACCATTTTTCTCCATGCTTGCCAACATCCAATATCTCAGCATAGATTTTGATGCAACTGGATGACGATTCACTTCTCTGACAAAAAGTGGTTGACGTGTTATTTATAAACAGTTTGAAATCAAGTAAGCTAAGCTAGTTATTTAATAACTTTTCCTTTCAACTCATTTTGAGGATGTCTAGTACCTTTTTTCGGAAGTTTTGCTGGAGAAATTTGTTAATAACGTCGGGAGAATTCTTAATGATTTCGAAAATTTTCACACGTGATGTTTTTTTAGCACTGGAAATGTTTATTTCCTCAAATTTGAACTCTGTAAATTCAATTCCGGATTTTCAGAATATCATGTTCGAGACAATTACAAAGTTTACTTGATAGTATCTCCTGGACGTAAGTGAATAGCAGCGAGGCCCCAACATTTAGTTGAAGCTACTTGAAGTCGTTCTCGAGCATCATATGACACTGATAATCCTAACAAGTCGCTCTCATCTGGCGGTATCAATTCTCTCGCGTGGACACACACCTGTCAACACCGAGAATAGATAATATAACAGTGAGTTAATCATAAATTAAAAGGAATGCAGTAAGCAGATTAGTAAAGCGTAACTTGTTTGGTTACAGCATTTCTCAAGAGTCACACTCTCTCTCTTTTTCTGAAAGATCTTTATTCAATCTATTGCTTCAGTATATTCACAAACACCCATCTCAGGAACCCTTTATATGGAGAACCCACAAATCACTATTTATGATTCTCATTTCGCATAATCAGCACAAATCCAATTCCCACTTTTATGGTCTACAAACTGATCAACAAATCATGGTTTAATCTATGATCTATAGGCGCTGACATCTGTTACTTCTCCTCATCTGATGAGAAATTTAAATTAAACAAAAGGAATGTTAAAGTCATTTCAATAAATGT